CAGAGAAACAGAAATTTTGGCAGCTTCTGGGGAAGTGAGATAAAGACCAGGCCAAAGCTCAGACTTTCTAGAGAAGTGTCTTGCCTCTAGGTTAAGGTTTCTTAGAAGGGCCCCAACAAATACAGTTTCCCTTTTGAAGATGGCATGATAGATAGGGAAGTGAAAGGGGAGACCTGGTTTGTTCGCTTAACAGGGTGCCGGGGGTGGATGCCCGAGGTGCTGGCTACTGTCACAGTGGGAAGAGCTGCTGACATATGATTAGTGAATGAAAGCTCAGATTTTGCAGTAACTAGCCAAAATTGTGGGAGGGTAGCAGCTGCTGCACTGAGCAAAAGCCCTAGGAAGACCCTAAAGTTGTATAATCTGCATATTTCCACCCACCCCTGCCTGGGAGGCCAGCTCAGAGCAGTCATTATAGGACTTTCCTTCAGGCATCAGGAAGCCACGGATTGTGATTTGTTTAGATTCGTCTGAATGGTTAGGAGGCTGCCAAATCGCACCAACAGCTGCAGTCAGTTGCTCTCTTCATGCTGTTAAAGCCATGCCATACACGTTATCAGCAGCATCTCTGCTCCACCCTGAGTGTCTTGGGAAATCACTTGAACTTAGCTGACAGTCAGAATTCTGAATCTGTTCTTCGCCAATATCACTGCATTTGTTTAACACCATTGTGATCTGGGCAGTTTTAGCTTTTATTTATTTATGCTTTTATTGATTTAATCAATCTAGGAGAATAGAAACTCTCCACCCCTCAAAAATTATCCTTCCTCTCAGAAGAAATAACAATAGTAATAACAGCAGTGATGAGAATTCCAACAACAGGATGGGATCCCTGTGTGCCAGAATTCTGCCAGAACGATACAGAATAGGGCTGGACTAGAACAGAGCCCTCTTGGATACAAGCAAGAGCGATTATTCCCCAGATTTTTTAAAATCCCAATTAATAACATTTATTATTTATGTCTTTTTTCATTTTTATATAAGATTCACTTCCCAATATACTCCTTTCACAGAATCCCATTTTGTAACAAAGACAAATTTAAACAAAGTCTAACAAACTAACCATATCTGACACTACGTGTAACATTTTATACCTGCAGACTACCATCTTATTTCTCCACTGTTTTCTGCTGGACCTCTTCTCTAAGGCCAAGCAATCTCTTTGCCAGAGAAATCACTGTTAAGACCATATTAACCTCTCAACTTAGGGAGCTGGAATTCTTTTTTATGCATTTGTGGGTGAAAAAAACCCTTAGTGACTGGGGGAAGGGGAGTCAACAGGGAAGAAATCTCTTTTATCAATGTTTATGTTGATGTTTATGGAAAGGCAGAGTAGTAGAACATCGGCTATTATAAGTTGTGGGTTCAAATTCCTGCTGTCACTTAACTATGTAAGTGTACCTGTCCACTAACCAGAACACATACGCTTGACATACACAGTTATACTAAGTGTAGTAAAGGAAAAGAATATAAATTTGAACCTGGGGTCTGTGTGCCCAAGGGCAAATAGTAGGGGCAGTGCTAGATGAATTTTTAAAAAATCAACCCAACAAAACATTTTTGAAGTAGCTACATGCTAGGTGCTGGGAATACAAAAGCCAAATATAAAAGAATCCTTGCCCTTAAGGAATTCATGGTCTACCAAAAAAAAAATAACATATACATATATAAATAGACACTAAATATATACAGAGGAAATATAAGGTAATAATGTCAGGAAGGACAGCAGTAGGAGGTGGCTACCTGAGCTGATCTTTGAAGGAAGGCCAGTGATTCTAAGGGACAGAGGGGATGAGAGGGCATAGCAGGTGTAGTATACAGCAGGGCAAAGTGACAGAGCTGAGAAATGGAATTCTGTATGTGTGAGAGTGCAAGCAGGCCAGTTTGACTAGACCATAAATATAAGAGATCTGGAAAGGTCGGACAGAGAAGGGCTTTGAATGCTTCCTATTTCACCCTCGAGGCAATAGGGAGCTCCTGGAGCTTCCAGAGCACTGGAGTAACAGTCATACCTGCCCTTTAGAGATAACACTTTGGCAGCTCTGTGGAAGATAGACTGGGGAGCGGTGGAAAGACTGGTGGCAGGAAGACCAATTAGGTGGCTGTTGCATCCTTCCAGGAAAAGAGATGATGAAGGCCTGAAATAGGGTGATACCTGCACGAGTAGAGATGGAGATGGATTGCAGAGCTATTACAGAGGAAAATCAACAAAGACTTGGCCACTATTTGGATGAGGGGGCCACCAAGAAATCTTCTTGTGTTGCCCTTTGAGGCAAATGGAGTGCAGCCATTTAAGTTAAAAACCCTCTGAGCGACTTGGTGAGCTTCTGAAATGCAGCAGGCCAAAAGGATGCATTTTCCTCAAGCATTAGTACTGAGGCCACTGTGGATGGCCATGCTTCCCAGAGAGCTTAGAGCAGGATGGTTTGGGGGTGGTAGTTTGCTAATGGAACCGAGCACTGAAACAAGTTTTAAGGACCTGTGTCACCAGGACCTGGGGTGAGGCAATGGCTGGACATACAGGAAACGTATCTGAGTAAAGAGGCTACCTATGAAGTCATCGACTGGTGCCAAGGTCAGGAAGCTGCTGTTCTTTATGAGTGAGATCAGTGAAGTCATACACCTCAAAGTCACTCCCCTCTCCTTCAAATCAGGTTTCAGAGGCAGAACTCCGAGAGGTACAACCCTTCTTTGACAAAGGAAGAAAGGGAGGTTTACAGAGGGGCAGAATACCCAATGAGAGTGTCAGAATCGGATGCCCCTGTACCTTGATTCCCAGTGCTTTCTTATACATCAGGCTGTTTTCAAAAGGCTTGCCTATTTTAAAAATTTATGCCTTTTGGTTTATACATCAGTCATGTCCCCATATTCTCCTCCAACCCTATTGCACCCCTCCCCTTGTAACAAAGAAAGTTAATTAAAACCGACTGAAACATTTCTTGTTTCATCCCCCATCTCTTTATTGAACAGTGTTTCATCACCTTTTCTTTGGGACCAAGATCAGTCATTGCAATTAATATGAGTTCAGCTCTGAATTCTTCATATTTGTTTCTAGGCTTGCCCTAGTTTGATCAGATTTACTTCAGACCCTCTCCCTTAAACATCCTCTGCAAAAATTTATTTCAGATTCAGTTTCTATATCTGTAATTTTGTCGGCCTTTTTGATTAAATTTTTTTTGGGGGGTGATTAAATTTATATCTCACAAAGCAATTCCTCGTAGGAGCTATGTTCCAGATTTGCCTGGCTATCTGCAGAAGTATTTGGGAATTCAGGTAACAAGTTTATTAAGCATTGGATTATATTCAGGCACCGTTAGGCGCTGAGGACACTAGCTTGCTGCTCTTTGTCCTTCATTCTCAACAGGACCAGGACATCAGAGAGGTGATGCCTTGATGTCAAATGAATTGGATTTCAGTGAGAGAGGGCTGTGCAAAGTCACCAGCCTCGATTTCTCTTCCAGAGCCATCTGGGTCCAGTGGCCAGATATGGATCAGAACTACTGGAGACAGCACAGGATGCAATGGGAATCTTGTCCTTTTCAAGCTAGTCTTTAACAGGTCTCAGTTGGAATGAGGCAGTGCCCATTCAGTGATTAAGGCATAATAAGAAATGTGGCAAAGAATGGCTTCTTTAAATAGATCTGGAAGAAGACCCTCAGTTTCTGGCCAAAACAAAAATAACTGTTGTTTACATTCATTCTGAGCCAATAAGGGTCCAAACAATGATCAAGTAGGGCTTGGTCTGGGACCTGTTGTTGGCCAATCAATGAGAGCCAGAGTGATTTGGGGTTAAGGCTGGTCTTTAAGAGAAAAAATAACAACAAACAAAAAAAGTTTCAGAGATTAAAATTTACATTTTCTTAGAGAACATCCACAATTGAGGATGTGATACCTACGTGGAGACACAATGAAAAATAAAAGCCCCTTATCTAAAGGACTTAACATTTTAAGGGAAAGACAACACATAAATCAGTACACATGTACAGACAATACACATAATGGACAAGGTAATTTTTGGAGGGAGGGCATAAGAGCTGTGTTAGGAGTTTTGGAGGGGAGGGGAAGGAAGAAGAATCAGGAAAATCCTCATGTAGAAGATGGTGCTTGGGTGGAGTCTCGAAGAAACAAAGAAGTACAAAGTACAGTTAAGTCCTAAGCATAGAGGACAGCCAATGCAAAGGCACAGAGACTGGAGATTCAGTGCCACATGTGAGGAACAGCAAAGTCAATTTGATTGGGCTATAGAGTTCAGGAAAAGCAGTAATGTTATAAAAAGGCTGGAAAGGCAGGTTGGGTCCAAGTTGTATTGGTCTTTAAATAACAAATATGGGAGTTTATCGGACTGGCAGCAGGGAGCCACTGGGGTTTATTTAACAGAGGAATAAGTTAGACCTATGCTTTTATGAGTAAATAGAGATGCTTCCCTTTCCCCTTCCGAGCAGTAAGAGAGTAAGGCTGTGGAAGACAGCAATTTGATGGAAGGAGCCGAGATGGCAGCTGGAGTTCTAGTGCTGACCCAAGATTGTTCTCAGGGACCAAGCAGCCTGATTGAGATGAAGCATCTTTGTGGCAAATGGACTAGGAGCTCTCAACAAAAGTCAGGTATAGCAGCCCTCCTTTTAGAGCTTCTGTGACTATATACAATGTCTCATGGGATAACACCTGGCACACAGCAATAAATGCTTGCTCTATTTAACCTATCCATCTCTACTCATAAAATATTAGGGCAAGAAGGGATCTTACCAATTATCAAATCCAATACCTTTATTTTACAGATGAGAAAACTTTGGCTCATAAGTTTTATGACTTGCCCACAGACACAAAGCTGGAAGTGGAACTCAGCTCTCTTGCTAATAGTGATTTTTTATACAATATATATATAATAAATATAACAGCTATCTTTTATATAGTACTTAAGATCCCCTCAACCCCTGGCCCAACTTACAGTAAGCTGAGGCTTAATTTATCTAGTAGACATAAGCACACAAAACTCGAGGACATCTGATGAAATCCAATTATTTAATGAGATCTACACACCTCATTTCACTTTGCAGCTGCCCTTAAGAACATTCCCTCTACTTCCCTGAGTAATTAACTCTCCATTTACTCCCCTATGCCCACTTACTAGCTCTTTTCCAGAGGCCTGGACCAGAACCCATATCCCCAAGCCAACATGAATCCCCCTCACACACTGCCACCAATCAGGACCTTGCCTGAACTCTGGCTCTGATTTTTTTTTTAAAGTGGTGTTTAAAGGGCCTAGGTCTGCCCTTCGAAGTCCACCCTTCTGGGGTGAGCTATGGCCAGGGGCCAGTGCCTGTCCCATGCACCCTGGCTGAGCAAGCCACTCATGCTTACAACGTGTAGGGTGTCGTGTGTTGCTGTTTTCAGTCCAAATTAGTTTCTCAATTTTGTCCATATCCAGTAGGGCCAGGTGGGACAGACTGTTCATGCATCTGTAACAGTTAAGTCCAAAGCAGCTACTAGGCTGTCAGACAGCTTTGTTGCAAGTTTATTTGCCCTCTTCTGCAGCTTTTTTCTCCTCTTGCAGGCTGCAGCCAGGCCCTGTCCCTGATGGAGGGGATCGAGGGCCCAGATTTCTTCCAGTTTAGGGGCTTGGGGTAGCTTCTGCTCAGCCTCTGCTGCCTTCTTGCTCTTGCTGCCTTTCAGTTCCACGGTGATGTCACCAAACTCAGGATCTTTGTCCTCATCCATGAAATCCTCCAGGTCTTCTCTAGCATCCCAGAACTCCTCCTCCTCCTCCTCCTCCAGCATCTCTTCTTCTGTCTCACTGGTGAGGCTAAAAGGCTTTTGGCCAACGCTGAGTGGCCCCTGCGGCATGCTGGCCAAGGCTTCCATGTTGCCCTGCTCCAGGGCCTCAAAGTCGAAGGCTTTGCCCATCTCAGAAACGATTTCGGCGCTGATGTGCGTGGGCAGCGTGTGCGTCTCAGGCGGGTGGGTGAAGTAGCTAATCTTCCCATTCATCCAGTCGGTCAGCACCGCCTTGGCCGCTTTCTCCTGGTCAGGGGCTCCTCCCTTCTTCAGTCTCCCCAGCCTTCGGGCCAGGAGCACCAGGAACTCCGTGGTGGTCCTAAAGGCGGGGATGCCGTAGTGCTGGGAGAGCTGCTCGGGGCTGCAGCGGCGCAGGATGGCCTCCACGGGGGCCACAGGGTCGGCCAGCTGCTCAATCCGGAGGCAGTTGCGAAGGATGAGGGCGGTGTCCGAGGAGGGGGCGGCCAGCACGATGCCCGGGGAGTCCAGCAGCGTAACGTGCTTGTCCAGGTGGACCTCCTGCAGGCACTTGGTGACGCCCGGCGTGGCGCCCACGCTGCAGGCCCGCGCCCTCTTCAGGCTGTTGATGAGGCTGCTCTTGCCCACGTTGGGGAAGCCCACGACGCCCACGCGGATGGCGGTGCGCAGGTCGTGGCTGCGGCAGTAGTTGCCCAGGACCTTCATGAGGCAGTCGGCACCGACGCAGGCCCCGGTGCCCAGCAGCTCGGCCGAGGCCTGCCGCGCCGACACCTTGCTCTGCTGCAGGTGGCGGTTCTGCTGCTGCGTGGACGCCTTGAAGGCCACCGTAGGGAACTCGTTGCGCAGGTAGGCCAGCCACTTCTGCACCAGCTCCTTGGGCACCAGGTCGATCTTGTTGAGCACCAGCACCAGCTTCTTGCTGCCGCCGGCCTGCAGCACGGCCTGCTCCACCTGCGGGCAGCGGCAGCTCTGCGGGTCGCGGGCGTCCAGCACCTCCAGGACCACGTCGGCCGCGTCCACCACCTTGCGGAATTCGCGGTAATAGGCCTTCCTGGATGCCTCACGCTCCAGCTGCGGGTGTCGCTGCTGCTCCAGGGCCCGCAGGTCGCGTTCGCGCTGCTCGTGCTCGCGCTGCCGCAGCAGCGCCTCCCGCTGGAGGCCCTCCAGGCTGCGCCGCAGACCCTTCTGCCTCTCGCGGGCGGCGCGCTGCTTCTCGCGCAGCTCCTCCTGCCGCTGCTTTCTTAGCTCGGCCTCGCGGCGAGGCTGCGCGGCCGCGCCGTCCTGGAGTCCGGACAGCGCCCCCGAGAGACCTCCCCGGGGGGCCGGCCGGCCCGGCTTAGTGCCCGGGCCCCGGGGCGCCGGCCGGGATCGGCGCTTGGTCATCGCTGCGGGGAGCCCCCGGGCCGCCTATTGGTTCAGTACCTCGTTCGAGATGAAGAGCAGGCTCAAAGCGGGCAGGGGGCGAGCAAGCACGCTCAAGCGCGCACGCTGCAGTCACACGTGGGAGCAGACCGGCTCCCTGGGACACACTTGATAAAAGTAGTCGAGTTCCGGCAGAGACGTCTGCGCCTGCGCGCGCACGCGCCGAAGGTGCTCTCGCTTCCGTAGCCCCGGTCCCCTCCCCCTCCTGCCCTCGACCTCCTGCAGTGCGCATGCGCCGGAGCGGTCCTTTCTCTCTTCCCCCCCCCCCCCCCCCCCCCCCCGCGTGCCTCTACTCTTTACTCCCGGCGCGTCTGCGCGAAAGTCTCCCTCCGGGGTGGGGGGGGGCTGGAGAGGGAGCCGCTGGTGGGCTCGAAATCTCGGTTATCCTCAGGGAAGTCGCGTGAGGTGGGGGTGGTGTGGCTGAGTACTGTGTAATCCCCAGGTCACAAAGGGTGAGAGGCGTGTGTAGTGAGTAGGGAGCAGTTCTGGAGCCAGGAAGACCCTGAGATCATCTTGGGGGCGCCACAGGGCACGGAGCGCCGGGCTTGGAGTCAGGAAGACCCGAATTCAAATCCAGCCTCAGACAGTTTCTAGCATTGGGACCATCGCTTAACCTCTGTCTGCCACAGTTTCCTCAACTGCTAAGTGGGGACAATACTAGCACCTACTGTCATGGTGTTTGTGAGAATTAGATGAGATTTATATTTATAAAATGTTTTGTAACCTTTAAAGTACTATATATGTATATATACATTACTATTATTATTTGTAATCATATATGTACATTATATATATATGTATATATACACACATTACTATTGTTATTTGTAATCATAATCCCAAAGTCAGTTGGTATGGGACTCTTGTCTTTGGTGGAGAGAGGCTTTGGGACTGGGGTTATTATTATAATTATAATATTTATTATTAAATTTGTGACACTAGCCCCAAAACCCATTGGTATTAGACTCTTCCCTGGTGGAGACCAATGGGCTTTGAGACAGGGGTTGCTTATTGTTGTTATGATTATGATTTTAATTACCTGGATTCCAGTCCCTCCTCAGATACTTACTGACTGTGTGACCTTGGCCAAGTCACTGCTCTAGGCTGCTATCTCTGAAGCTATGAAGTCAAAGAGAAGGTTGCATAGATACAGGAGATTTCTTCATTTGGGAGTTCCCTATAACTAAGAATAAGGGCAGCTTGGTGGGACAGTGGTAGGAGCACTAGGCTTGGAATCAGGAAGCCTTATATGAGTTCAAATTGGGCCTCAGACTTATTAGCTGTGTGACCCTGGGCAAGTCACTTCACTCTGTTTGCCTCAGTTTCCTCATCTGTAAAATGAGCAGGAGAAGGAAATGACAAACCACTCCAGTATCTCTGCTAAGAAAACCCCTAATAGGGTCATAGAGAGTCAGACAGGACTGAACAACAGCATAGCAAAGAAACCCTTATCCCTACCTTTACATGTTATCCCACTTCAGATTAACCTCCCTCATTTTACGGGGCAACTGAGGCCGAGAGAAAGGAAGTGAGTGAACCAAAGTCTCAGATTCATCCAAGATTCAAACCCAGACTTCCCCAGCTCTGAATCCAGTGTTTACACCAGGCCACCCCCATGGACAGCAGAGAAGCCAAGCCACTTGCCTAAAATCACACAGGTTGTAAATAGCAAAGCTGAAATTTGGACCCAGGTCTTTTAGAGCCTAGATCTAACACAATTCAAATTTGACAAGTGAGGTTTGAGTTTTTTTTTAAACTTTGTACTAGGTGCTAGGGATGCGAAAACAAAACAATACAGGCCCTGAATCAAGGAGTTTATGTTCTCTTAGGAAGAAATATCACTCACTTGCAAAATAAATGCAAAATACATGCAAAATTATTTGAGGTGGGGAGGGCTCAGGTTAATGGGGGCAATTTTGACCCCTTTTAGAGGACTCTATGAACACATTCCTGCTTCATCTTCAGCTTCTTCATCTATATAATGGGGATAATAATAGCACCTAACTTGGAGGGATGTTGTGTGGATTAAATGAGATAATATTTGTAAAGTGCTTTGTCAACTTTAAAGCACTATCTAAATGCTAGCTATCATTATTACCATAATAATAATAATTATTATTATGTCTTCCTATACTGGGGAATATTTACTCATTTAAGTATTCAAGAGCCCACTTTCTATTAAAAAGAAAATGTGTCCGTGATGTTGATAATTGATGAACTTAAAAGGAATAGGGTAGTTCACCCTTGGATTTCAGAAATGGATGACTGGAGAAGGGGACAAGATATTGGAGGGGATGGTACACATCTATTTTAGGGTTACCAGGCCTTGGTCCCATACTAGTGGATTTAGGATTAATTTGGGGAAATGCTAAGAGGGGGCTGTCTGAAGCAGGACTCCTTTATTAAATCGTCTACTTGCTATTAAATTTTTTATATCAGATCTGTAATTTCATTGGTGTCAGGAATTACTGATAAACTTTTTTTCACATTTATTTTATTTTTAATGTATAGAATAAAACAAGAATTTCCATAACATAGTGTAATCAGAAAGATGATTGCACGTGAAACTGCAAATCTATTATGTATGATTTGTTACTCCTTTTAACAGTTATGTAAATTTCTTTTTTTCCCCTTTTTTTCTTCCCTCTATTCCCCCCCTCCCCCCATGGCTACTGTTAGACACAAAAAGGTATGTTGTGTGTGTGTGTGTGTGTGTGTGTGTGTGTGTATGTAAATTATTTTATACATACTTCTGTTTATCAGTTCTTTTTCTGGATGCAGATAGCATCTTTTTCATATGTCCTTTATAGTTAATTTGGATATTTATGATAGTCAAGATGACGTAAAGTTATTCTTGAAACAATCTTGCTGTTACTGTATACAATGTTCTCTTCTGCTCATTTCACTCTTCATTATTTCGTACAAGTCTTTTCTTGTTTTTCTAAGATCGTTGAGCTCATCATTTCTTATAACACAGTAATATTCCACCACAGTCATACACTACAACTTGTTCAGCCATTCCCCAGTTGATAGGCATCCCTGCAATTCCCAGTTATTTGCCACCACAAAGAGAGCTGTTATAAACACGTAAAACATATAGGTTCTTTTCCTTTTTCCCTAATGACCTAGTAGTGGTATTGAGAAACTTCTTTTAATGCAGGTCAGCAATTCCTCGGTAACTTAAAAGTCTTAGAGAATTGCCTAGAGCACCAAGAAGTTGACTTGCCCAGTATCACAGAGCTAGTAAATGCCTGATACTGTACATAAACCCAGTGAGTCACTCACTAAACATTTATCAAGTGCCTGGTATGAGCCAGGCACTGGGCTAAGCATGGGGATACAAAGAAAGGCAAAAGACAGTCCCTGCCCTCGAGGAGCTCATGGTCTGATAGGGGAGACAACAAGAGAACAACTATGTGCAAATAAGATACGTGCAGGATAGGATCACTTGGAGGTAATCTACAGGGAAGGCACTAGAACTAAGGGGAATCGGGAAAGGCTTCCTGTAGGAGGTGAGATTTTAGTTGGGACTTGAAGCGAGCCAAGGGAGCCAGGAGGTGGAGGGGAAAGAATCCCAGGCGGGGGGGTGGGGGGCAGCCAGAAAAAATGCCTAAAGTCAGGAGATGGAAGGTCTGGTCCTGTCTACCTAACAGGAAGGAAGCCAGTGCTAGTAGATCGAAACGTTCATGGGGTGTAAGGTACAACTCAGGTCTTTCTGACTTGAGGACTATTTTATCATCATACCTTTCATCTTATTAATAGTGATGGAAAAGTGGAGCTGGCATGTTTTTATTTCCTTTAAAAAATACACAAGCCTCAGACCTGTTGCTTTTTTGAGGACATTTTAATTAAAATGAAGTAGGCCTTATTGCTCTCTCTTTGGCTTCTTTATTTTTTGTTTTGTTGTTGTTCAGTCATGTTTCAGCCATGTCTGACTCTTTGTGATCCCATGTGGGGTTTTCTTGGCAAAGATAGTGGTGTGGTTTATCATTTCCTTCTCTAGTTCATTGTACAGATGGGAAGCGGAGGCAAACAGGGTTAAGTGACTTGTCCAGGGTCACACAAAGCTAGTAAGTGTCTGGGGCCAGATTTGAACTCAGGATGATGAGTCTTCCTGACTTCTGGCCTGGCACTCTATCCACTGTGCCACCTAGCTGCCCCTATCTTTTGTTCAGGTAGCCCTAGTTAGTTGGCTGTGTTGCCAGGAGCTGTTTGACTAGGAGTTTGCCTATGTGATATCCAGTAAAACTAAGGTTTTAAAATGTGGTTAGTTATTCGTTTGTTGCCATTTAGTGTTGTCTTATTAGGAGATTTGTCTTCCCAACTACTATGTTTGAGAGGGGTGAGATAGGGTGAAGATTGCTTGGAGAACCTTTGTGGTGACTTGCTGTTTTTCAGTCTGGCCTAGAGCCCTGGAACTAAAGAGCTCAGTTTGTTGGCTCCAGATGTGCGCACACTTAACTGTCACATCCGCAAGGATCGGCAGATGGTACAACCACATCAAGGAGAGCTGGAGGGGGTGCCAGCCTACTACAGAGGGCATCGAGTATAAGAATGGTAATGCGGTAGGACAGAGCGCCCTGAGCCACCACAGAGGAGCTGGCTCAGCTGTTGCTTACAATTGCCCTTAACTTGGGCTGGGTTTTGTCTTTCACCACAGAAATGAATCTAACAGGAAATGCTTAGCTCCTCCAAGACAAAGATTCTCCAAGTGTGGTCTGTGAGGATTTTCCAGGTGGTCTGCAGACTAGTCTTTTGTAGCATTAATGGTTATGATTTATCAATGCCTATACTTTTGTTTCTATTGTCATACCTCTGTTCACATTGTCCTCTGGGGCTATTGCTGCATTTCCATCAGGGGTGCAGTGGATAGAGCAGGCCTAGAATCAGGAAGACCTAAGTTCAAGTCTAGTCTCAGACACTAGTTGTGTGACCCTGGTCAAGTCACTTAACCTCAGTTTGCCTCAGTTTCCTCATCTTTAAAGTAGGGATAGTGGTAGTATTTACCTTCCAGGGTTGTTGTGAGGATCAAATGGGATAATAATTGTAAAGCAATTAGCGCAATTAGCACAATTAGTAGTAAGCCTTAAATAAATGTTAGCTATTATTATTGTTTTTATTGTTGGAAGGC